CCCAGTGCAATCATATCTTCTGGTTGTATTGCAGGTATCCCAGTTAGTGGATTTCCACACAATTCACTTGCTAAAATATAGATATTGAATGAACAAGCTCATATCTCTTGCTTTGAAAGCAGATTTTTGCATTGTGGTGATTGTATGTGCAAGGAGAACATTCTGCAGGTTCTAAAACCAGGAGGCGAATGAAGGAATTTCAAACGTTATGTGAAGACGAAGGAAACTCAATCCTAGGAGACAAGCTTGTTTTTTGTTGTTTTTTTTTTTGTTCTTTCCTTTGATTCTTGACAGTTGGCAGTGTTGCACTTTGGCTAACTTATGATCTCCAAAATGAGGTAACCTTTCTGTAGTTTTCAGGGTTATCTTCAACATGGGTGGATTCTGTCCACCTCTCTTTTCCTGTTGTTTTGAGGTTCTAAGGTGTATCTGAGAACAGTCAGGCTGAGATGAGAAATCCAAAACAGAAAACCCACACAGATTTCAGTTTGAGTTATTATTTATATGCATACTGGATCCTGTCAAAGATGAACATAATTGTTTGAAATGAGATCTTTTCTGTAAAACAATAGGAAGATGGGAAACATAAAACATTAATTAACTACTCAACACTGTTTCACATTTGGTTGTTGGTTCTGCAAGAACAGTTAACATGAACGAATACTGCTGGTAACACTTGTTAACCCTCCTTCTTACTCTTCTTACTCTGGTTTGAACTTTGCTCTCTGGAAGTGTGGTACGTACAATTGTATATATGGTCCCATGCTAATAGAACCCAATTTAATGCACAGTTAGAAGGACTCTTCATTACTCCTTGCTTTTGGTTTTATGGCTTCTTAGATTTGTGACACCCGGTTTAATATTGAGTTGACTTTCATAATTCATGCCAGTAAAAATCTGTTAAAATGCAAAATTACCACAGGATCCTGAGACCTCAAATGGCCAGTATGAAAAGCTTCAGATGGACCAGGCATGTTGCTGAAGGGCACGGTGTATGTGTTTACTTTCCAGCTGATCACATAAATATTGTCAAAACTATGCTCTTAATTTGATTTGTGACATTCCATTAACAGTTACTCCGTGTACCAGAATAATAATAATAACTAATGATTCCCAGACTCCCAGAATTGTAAAATAAGGACAGGCTCTGTTTGGCAGAACAGATACCATGCTTTAATATGGACAGGAACTGTTAATATTAATCAAATGAGGTATAGTCTAAAATGACTTCTGGCTAATGACTTGTTCTCGGGCTGACCGTGCTACTTGCAGGTAACACACTGTTCTAATTCTGATGATTACTAATAATTGCATGCTAGATACATGGTTTTCTGTCTCTCAGAAAGAGAAACGATCTTCTTCATTGTCCTCACTTTAAGACGTTACTGTTGAAACTGTGATGTTAGGCTGTTGGATGTGGGATGGCAAAAGTTCATGGATTTGCCTTTTGATTTAAGCTTTTACAAGGATGGACGTGTGAGCAGTGAATGAGTTCAAAATGTGAATTTAATTGTGTGACAGCCAGAACTTAATTATTCAGAGCATCATTATGTGATGCAGAGCTTCCTGAAGGCCACCAGTAGTAGGAGTTACTAAGTCACACTTATTTCACCTTGAATATGTGCTGTTACTGTGATGTTTTCAGACAAATTTATTTAAGAGAAACAGAATTAAGATCCTCCCTATTTCTTAATTAATTCCACAAGTTACACTGAGGGATGGAGAAATAAGTTAAACTGGAAGATATGGCAAGATTGATTCTGTTTTCCCAGAAGAAATAACGTTTTTCTTGGGGCGCTAAAAGCTGTCTTGTGCTTCAGAAGCTGCTCTTATACTGAAAGGGAGGAAGAAGAGACTCCCAGAAGGGAGTTCCTGTAATGCAGAAAGAATCCGGTCTTCTGGAACCAGCAGCTTGATGCATAGCTGTGTTAGGAAGGCCTGGTTTCTGTTGGGTTGAGTCTCCTCCTTTAACTTATAGGTAAGCTAAATAGTGAGCTTTAAGTTGTAGCACCAAGGTATGATGCACATATATGAGCAAGTTACCTCTTCTTAGTTTTTTTTTTTTTTTTTTTTTGCGATGAATGTAGTTTTCTACTCTCACTGCTCCTTCTGTAAGCAGTCCTTATATGCTGTTGCAGGGTGAGGTTTTGTTTTCTGAAAGAAGCTTTTTGTTTTTTTTCTGGTAGTTTTCTGAAAGAAGATTTTGGCTGTCTTCAGTGGGAATAATATGTGGCTCGTGGTCTTATCTACACCTAATTAAATGTAAGGAAATAACGTTTTAAAAACTAATTCAGTGTTGACAGGACAAAGAGAAAGATGAAGGACACGAAGAGAGTCTGCCTTGAATACACACTGCTATCTACCAGGAGAATTAAACATGATCATAACTCATTTATGATGATGATGCAAGCGTATATAGAGACATTTATGTAAAATCCTATGGAAGTTATTAAAAGTTGGCCTTATTTAAGTCCACGAATAAGTTTTTTTTATTATTTCAGCACAAGGGTGCTACTCAAACTTGTACCAAAATGACCAGTATTGCAAATCAGAGGCAGTGTTATTTTTGGTACATTTGCCTAGGCAGCATGTCTGGCCAGCTGCAGGCCTGATCCAGCATTCAGTGAAAGCTGACGAAAAAAGACATAGCTTCTGCTAATGCTTCCCGTGAGTATCTACAAAGTAGATAAATTTATTCTTATGAGTGCATGTTATACATATATGCAATGTGTGTAACATTTATGTACACTCCAGCTTGGGCTGAAAATCTTGAGCTGAATTCTAATCATAATTTTGAGATAGGTTAAGATATGCGTGAGGTATTTTGTTGTTTCTGGAACATGAATGACCTCTTAAGTAGGAGTTGGTTATGTTTTTAGTCTATTAGCTGTAATATGTATACATGTTTTGTAGACAGCCAACATTTAAAAGCAAGAAAAAGCTGCATTTTTCTCGTGTTTCTGATTTACAGAGAACGATGAGATGCAGTAATCTAATTTATCTGTCTATGGTGTCATGTTTGTAAGTAATAGAATGCATCAGATGCTCTGTGTATGTGTGGGTATCCTACTAGTGGGCTCAGCTAATGGTGAAACAGCTTCAGCTTGTTGAGGAGCTGTTCATTTTGTAGAAGATGGTGAGTCCTGCAACTGATGCTGAACAGAAGGAGATCAGATTCCATTAAGCCCATTTCTGCAGACTGAGAGAAACTTCTCTCTTTACATGGTAGGAAAATTCATCCCAGAGATTAAGATTTTATATGGATATGTTTATCTTTGATTGTCCTGTCCCCCCCGTGGAATAGTGCCCATCAGCTATTTGCAGTAAAACTGATTCTGTGGTTATTTGCATTTGATATTCTTAAGTCTATTTGACAAAGACTAAAAAAAATCATGTATATTTTATCAAATATTGTACACTTGTAATTAAAAAAATATAGAGTTTTTCATTACTGAAATTGCCCTTTAAAAAAGGCAGAGCGCATTTTTCTCATGTGCACCTATTTAAAAGAGTGTACTGATGTATGTGTTAGAATTGTTTTTGTACATCTGGGAAGATTTGAAGTGGTAGGACAGAGACAACACTGCTCAAGTAATTTGGAGCTAGTAGTGAGCTGAGCATGTAGCACATAGAACACATTATTTTGGTTCTAATAACCCTAAGTATTAGGGACATGCATTAGCAGTAAGATCAAGTGGGTAGGAAGGATGCTGAGGACTTATCTCGGCATCCATTAGGAGCGATTTGGAGTGGCAAAATTCTTGAATACTGACTGACTCAGCTTGCAGGAAGTAGACAATACAAAATGGCAGAATTTCACAAGTGATTGCATCAAAAAACCATTCTCCCTTAGTTGGTGACAGATACAGCATTAACTTCTCACTTCAAGTATTTTCTCTGAGTGAGATCTATTTATCTCAGGCTTTTCTTCACATCTAAGAAAGCACTGTTTTCTCCACTCTTCCTGCCTCCTCCAAATTTTTTATCTCCTCATTCTTCTTGAGTCATGGATTAATCTCTTCCTTAAAATGTTTTACATTAGCTGTTCCTTCATCCATGTGGATAAGTGGGAATTGCTACATTATTTCTGTAGACCAAAGCATCTGGTTCCTGTTCAAAATATTCATTGTTTTATAATGGATAATGCCCTAATGTAAGGTGTGTGTGTATGTGTGTGTTTTTTCTTCTCTCTTAGAAGAGGATTGTGGGAGGGAGATGGTTTCCACTTCCTTGGTACTTTCTTACTTTTTCCTGTACAATGCTATTTGGAGGACTCTTCTCAGGCAGAACATTGAGAAAGATGTGTATAGTATTTTGAGCTACCAGGAAAACAAAATTACTTAATGTAGAAGGATCTTTTTTTAACTGTTGGACTTCATGATTTTGAAGGTCTTTTCCAACCTGAGCAATTCTGTGATTCTATGATCTAATACTTGTATTACTTGGACAACAGTAATTTTTCTGTAAATGTAATATTATAAGATTTCAAAATCATGTGACAGCGCACTTGCTTTAACTTTTAAGCTCTCTTTCTCATGATAGCCTGAAGAATTAATCTTGCACTGAGAAGAAATTTGTTTAGTTAATGCAACGTGGCTTAAAAACAAGGCTAAGTAATAGCTGTACTGACTCAGCAAATCGTTCAGCCCAGATGCCTCTGACCTGCATAGTAGTCCAAGAGGTTTCTTAATGTACAGAACCCTGTATTTTTTATGCAGTGAAATCATTGAATGGCTTGGGTTAGAAAGGTCATCTAATTCCAATGCCCTGCTGCAGGGAGGATTGCCACCCACTAGATCAGCCGCTAGATTGGGAAGCCCAGTGCCTAATGTACTTACTGGCTCTGGTTATTTGCTGGAGTTGTGTGGTATCCTGAGGAAAAAAGTCTTCTGAATTTTTTCTAATGCGTTAATTCCACAACTTAGTAGAGAATACCATCCATGTTGGGCTGAAGAGGCCTGAGTTTTCTGAGGTTTACTAAATGCCTTTTTTCTTTCTAGATTGTGACCTATGGAGAAGAATACATAAGGGGATAAATATGGCTTTTAAGGGTGAGGACCACTTAGATTCCCTTCCTTTACCTGTTCAGCGGTAAGTGGTACTCTTCTCATGCAGACTTAAGTGACTAAATGCTCCCAAAGCTACTTTGTTATTTAGGATCCAAAGGTGAATAAAAAAGTCATTTTTAAACACCATTCTTGAATTTGCTTACATTCTCACTGGTAAATCATGACAGTAAACGCGTAGTGACTGTTTTAAATGGGTGAGCTGGCTTGTGGTACAGCAATGATAGTTTACTGGATTGGTTGTCATGATGGAAATCTCTAGCACTCCCTCTACTCTGAAGACTATTGGAAATTATAAATATAAATTTACTGAACCTCATTCACTGCCTCTACTTGTAACTGTGGTACTAATATTAAAGTTTCAGTAGAATCTTGCCTGTCCCGACGGGGAACTGGAAGTACTGGTTGCTCTATTAATCAATTGAGGTTTTAGAATCTGGCTCCAGATTGGCAGCTAGTATCTGTAGCATAGTTTCACATCTGTGATAATGGAGGCTTCATGGAAAGGGAAAAATGGATAATGAATACAATCATTCTATGTTTTCATTGAGCTACGGTCTTGATATGTAGCATAATTGATTTTATGGGCTGCTGAATGCAGGGGTAAAATCAGAAGCAGGAAGGATTTAAATTTCATTATTTTTCTTAGTTGTCGTTAGGCAAAATCTTCTTTCCTGCAGTCAACTGGCTGCTGACATGCATTCTCAGAATACGGGGCTTTTCTTCTCAACAAGTTTTGGTATTTCTCTGTTTTTCACTATCTGAATCTTTTAGCAGATATTTTGATAACACCACTGGGCTTTCAGTTGCAGAAAGACAATTTGGGCACACTGTCTTCTGTAAGGAATGTTAGGTGGAGGAAAGCAGTTTGGGGATCCCAGATGCGAAGTAAATGAGGACCATATATTGGATTCTGTGTATTGGAAACCAGCAAGTCCTAGAAATCCTAGGTAACCAGGTGTGAACTGGACTGGAATAAACAGGGATGAGGTATACTGTCACTCATTAGTTTTAATTTTTATTCCATGGGATGAAGCTGTGGAATATTGCATCAGTGGTGCACAGCAGTGCCGTCAGATTAATGACTTGCACTTGGAAATGCTCTGATCAGATAAGGTGCTAGATATCTGCGTTAATTTCTTAGTAATAACTAATTAATTCTGGAAATTGAATTGTAGTTTAATAGTAGACCAACTACTGTGCAAAAACTTCCATTGCAAAATGGGTCAGTGAAGCCTCTTGCAGAAAAATAGATACAAGTGGGACCAAAGGCAGTAAGACCCATGGATGGCAAGGGCTGATCCAAGTTGATGGTGGCAAACTTTTCTTGCAAGCAAATGAGGATGTCAGCTGCAGACTGCCCATGTTAGTGATTGGAAATGTGGAGAAGTAACAGTGCATACGATGCTCACATGCAACAGCACAGAACTGAAAAGTTCTGAAAGTTCTGAATCTGTAGGCTAGAAACTGCTGAAAAGGGAACCTGCCTGCAAGTCAGTTCTGCTGTGTGCAGGGAGGCAGGAGGACTCCACTACACTACGTTTAAGAAAATATGCACCTTGCATTGACTCTTCACTGTATCTTATTGTAAGTTATGTGGGAAAAGTTTTGTACAGCGGCAAGTGCTATGCTCTGGGGAAGTGCGTGGCCCGGCAGGACAACTGTATGTAGTGAGATCATAAAATAAGTAAATACTCTATCTTGTCCCCAGCTGTTTCAGTACAGCTTCTGAAAATGGACTCTTTACAAATGTCTTTCCTGTTGGAATTGCTTTTCTCATATTTCTGGTGAGTTTTCCAGGTGGGAAAGCTAATGTAAAAGAAATGGTCTTTCTCTTAGGTCCCTGTCCTCCATTTCTTTGTAATAAAAGTTCATCAGCCTTTTTGTTTGCTTTCAATTAAAACAATGTACCCATTTTTACATGGTAGTCATGGTTTCTTGCACTTTCCATATTGCATAGTAAACAAAAATTAGCAATTAGAGTACTCAATCAGAAGCCAGTCAGCTAAACAAAGGTACTCATAATAAAGAGCAAAATAGGATGCTGGTTTTGTTTTCCTGGATTATATGTTCAGCTCACTCTCATAACTGAGAGAAATTCAGTACAATTAGTACTTAAACTACAAAAACAACAAAACCCATAAATACAGCACTTCATAAACACAGCAGGATTCTCCATGGAAATTAGGAATGTAAAAGTGAAGCAAAGGTAAAGTTATCTTGCTGAAAAATGTTGAAATTTGCACTATGAATCTGGGAGGCACTCTTGAAAGTGAAGTGATAGCAGTGGTAGAGCTGGTCTTTCTTCCTGAGCCTCAGAAATGTAATACTGCTAAACTGTTCAATACATACTCTGAACATCCTTACAGTTTTAAAAATGAAAGATAATCCTCTGGGTTATAACTTCAGCTTGCATAGGAGCAAAGGCAATGTTAAATATTTAAAAGCTTGGTTTTTTTTTTTTTTTTTTTTTTTAAGTGAATGCTCTGAGGACCAAAACGATGAGCCCTACTAGGTGATAAATTTAGAAATTTTTTAATACTATTATTTTCTCTTACAGAATTTTATGCCACTGATATAGATGAGAGCGTTTTTTTCTTAATCACTGTGCTTCAGATGAAGAAGGTGAGGCAGAGAAATCAGACAAGTCTTTGAACTCTAGGTACATGTAGTTAAAATCTCTGAAAATCACTTCCTTGTCTTGATCCACCTGAAATCAGAACGGTTTGCCATAAAGGGCTTCTAATTTTGGCTCTGCCACAGAATCCAGGTTTCCTGTCTCCCAGTTCTTAACCAAAAGTCAGTTCTTCCTCCTTTTGTTACGTTCTTCCTTTTTCTGTTCTCTAAGGACCTGAGATCTATGAAAGAACAATATGAATGAGGTCACTCCATGCATATTTATAGCCTTGCTCTGCTCTTTAAACTGTGCCATGTATCTGCAGGTGTCCTGATAACTTCTCTAGAGTATCTACTTAGGTGTCCCGTTACATAAATAAAGACTTCCGTGCCCCTTTTATGCCCTCACCTATTAAGCAATTGCTAAGGTGGCAATCAATTCTGGAGAGGTCTGGATTTCTTTCAGTATGCATTCTGGTGGTAGTGGTGGTTGTTTTTTTTTACCCTACATATTTTTTTTCCCTTTAACTTCTATAATTTCTCGCAATGTTATTTTCTGTTTCTGTATGGTAGGTAATGGCGGCTGGAGATCTGCTCACTGCATGTGTCCCATCCCTGGAGGCATTCAAGGCCAGGCTGGATGTGGCTCTGGGCAGCCTGGTCTGGTGGTTTGGTGACCCTGCACATAGCAGGGGGTTGAAATTATAGATGATCATTGTGGTCCTCTTCAATCCACCCCCTTTCTGTGACTCTATGAATACCATCTTGTTACAGGCTTCAGGATATTCTAGGTTAATTGTTCACAGGCTTTCAGTAACCAAGTGGAAAAGAAACACTTCTGAGGCTGTCTTCAAAATTCTAGGACCAAAGCATTCCATCTATGAAGCGGTGGGAACCATGTCTTTCACGACTCTAAGTACTCTGCTGCTTGCCCAGTAAGCAAAGAGGTGTTGATTGAAATGATGCTAAAAAATTCTGGGAACTGGAAGAAAAAAAAATTGGACTGAACTGCTAATTTAACAGAATATTTGTCAAAAGTTGAAAATTGAAACTTGCAGCGAGAGAGGTGTGTGGCTTTTTTTCTTTGTTTGTTTTACTCCAGAAACTGCAGTGATTCCACTGCAGGTTTTTCTCCTCAATCAAGATAAAAAACATGCAGGCTTTCATAGAATATAGAGGCATATTATGATGAAAAATATGGAAATTTATAATGGATTTTTTTAATGGAAGGTACAACTTCAAATGAAAAAAAAAGCACTTGGCAAAAAATTTCTGGTAAGAAAGAATTTCTACTGTAGTAAGGAAGATAGTGTAATGATCTTTGTAAAGCAAGATGCATTTTTACCTGCTCAGGGACTAAATTATTTAAAGATCTATGTATTGGGTTTTGCTTCTCGAACTTCATGTTACTTCTATACAACTGAAAAGAGTTGTTTTGATAACACTGCATTTGAGGTGCAAGACACAATGATGAGTCTTTCAGCACGTGTCTAATATTGCATTCATATGTTGTGTTTTTAATAAATACAACCTCAAACATGACTTTAAGGAGCAGATTATATCAGCTTGTTAGACTTCTACCCTAAGTATCTAGAATTACCCCAGTACTGTGTGATTTAGTTCTTGGAGTTGAAGGCAGGGAAATAGTTCTCTCTAGTCATATAAACAAATAATAATAGAACAGTTGGGCAAAATTACACAGGTGTATTCCTTCTCATTCAGTTACCTAAGGACCTCTTTCCACTTGTATTCTCTATGCAATGAGGATCTGTTTACTTTGTTGTGATCTGTTGATGTGACTTCAAGCTCTAGATGTCTTTTCTAGTGAATTTGGGGCAGCAACTAGATTTGGTTGCATGGTAGTTTATTGAAATATTTCCTGTTTCATCTTTCTTCTTTCTTAAACATGAAACACCGAAGTGAGTGAGTCCTAGGGATGGGATTTCTGTGAATTAGCCTGTGTAAAACTATTCGTTTTTTACCTCATTCTAGTCTATTTTTCTAGCACTACCAATTCTTATTAGCTGTTACAAGACACCTTTCTACTTGCTCTGTATCTGTGTGCCTTCTGTACTTTGTAGCCATTTCTATTATCAGTGCTGATCCTCATGAAACTTGTCTGTACATTTTTAATACTATGTGGACTCTTCAAGAACCAACAACCCATTTGTAAGCATGCACAACTTGTAAGATTGTGCTCGAGTTCATCATCACAAAATCTTGCTTAACTACGAATGCTTTAAATGCTTTGTCTGATCAGTGATTTACATATCCTTGTGCTTCTTAGACATCCTCTGTAAGTGCTCAGTTCTTTTTGTTCGATGGCTTCCTGTCGTATCTGCTGCTAATAATAAAGGGCTTGTTCTGCATTTCTGGCTTTTCCCACCTTCATCATGCAAAGTGAACTTC